TGGATTTTATGTTCAAACGTAAGCAATATTGGAGAAGGCAATATCAATAAGTTACACTATGTGAATTAATGCCATGGGAGTTTCTTTCTTTGGTTATTTCAAAGCTGGTTAGTATTTTAAAGCTATTAGTCATGTGTAATTGTACCTGGGAGTAACATTTTTCATTACCATCTAAAGATGATTCATTTTGTTGCATATAGGAGAAACTTTGAGGATAAATTCCACTGATTTTTAATGTTCTCAAGGACTTTAAGTGTACCTACAATTAAAACAAAATTATCTTTTCTTACATAGTCTATCTGATCTACATATTTTAAATAAAGTGTTATTATTAAAAATGCAGAAGTCCAATGCTGGGTATATATCCAAAGGAAATGAAATCAGTATGTTAAAGAGATACCTGTATGTTAAAGAGATACCTATAATTAGATGTTTATTGCAACACCATTCACAATAGCCAAGACATGGACTTAACCTTGACGTCCATTAACAGATAAATAAAATGTGGTATAAATAGATTATTGGGCCAAATTATTTTTTACTAGAAGAGGTTGTATTCTTAATGGAGTGTCATATAAAGCCTCCATATATGATTACCCTCCTGTAGTGGATCAGTCCAGTATTCATTTTTCTGGGCAAAGGACATTTATTTGGGCCAGTATAAGTAAGGTTGCCTTCAATGATCACATAATTGATAGACATTGTGGTGGGATATAGCAATATTGATGTGTTCTTAGTCTTTCAGGATCTCAAAACGCATGTGTTTATAGGGTTTCATGTGTTTATAGGATTTCTAAGTTATATGGCAATTATTTTCAGCATTGACCATTTTATACCCCTCATTTTTTGGTGTACAACCCAGTGAACAATTATTTACACCACATCATATCTCCTGTTGTACAACTTTAAATTAAGTATTTGTACTTCAGAGAAGATTTGTTTGCTTGGTTTTCATATTTATTTTCTAGAATTATATTGATTACTTGAGTAAAGGAAAACTTAAATTTTTGTTTGTTTTGGTACCAGGGATTGAACGCAGGATCTTGCTTTTGAGAAGCAGGCGGCGGAAGCACTAAGCTAAATCCCCAGCCCAATACGTATGATTTTCTTGAAAGGAAATTATTGATGTAGAATGAATGAGATGGAAATCTTTTGGTTTCCTAAAAAAAAAAAATAAGAGTATAAATCTACTTTTATGTGGCTTTTTATTTTCTCCTAAAAGAAAAAATAGAAAACTGTGTGAAACAGTTGGGTAATTTTCTATCTCCCTTCTTCACAATATATGCAGGGTCCAAGAAGTGTGGACCTGTCTAGAAGCTAGAACGTCAAAGAAAGCGTTATCATTCCTAGAGCCCTAGAAAGAAATGTAACTTAATGAGATCCATTTTAAATTTCTATAAGATGAAAATATATGGTGTTTGAAGCCATAGAATTTGTAGTAATTTGTTGCAGAAGAAATAGGAAACCAGACAATGAGGATTGGAGTCAAAAGTAGGAGCACTCTATGTTTCATGGAGAGAGTCAAGCAGTGCTGCTAAATTCCCATATTTTTTGTGCAGAAAGGTACGACTCCGAGATGTTGCATTATACTGAATGTTTGGACAAGATCCATAGTTGCTCTTTCTGAAGCTCAATGCATCAACACTGTGCACAGTATACTTTTAAACTTTTTATTAGTACATTTTTGTAATACATAGTGGTAACATTCCTCCTGGGAAGTCTGTACAAGTACATAATTCTTTTTTCATCCTTTTTCCCTCTCTACCCTCCTGCCTCCCTCCATCTCTTGGTCCACTTCCCTTTTGCAAAAGATCTGTTTCCCTATTTCCTATTACCTTCTGTTTTGCTTTTTATTTATATTCTGGATTTTTCCTATAAGAGAAGCTGTGTGGTATTTAAGCTCATGTATCTGATTTATTTCACTTAGCAATATGGTCTCAGGATGAATCTATATTCATACGAATGACTCAAGTTTATCCTTCTTTATGACAGAATAGTACTCCATAACACAATGCTTTCTTTATTCATTCATCTTTTGAGGGACATACAGGCTGCTTCTAAGATTTAGCTATTATATACTGTGTCATGCTGCTTTTGCACTACTGTATCAGTATTAGAATTCTACTGCTTTTTTTTTTTTTTTCCGGTACTGGACCTTGCGCTTCCTAGGCAGGTAGTGGCACCACTGAGCTAAATCCCCAGCCCTACTGTTTCTTTTTCAAAGTAAAATTGTATAAATCCATTTTCTTATTTCATTATATATTAACTTTTATCATATCTTTAGACATCAAATTGGAATTATCTATCATCTTGTCTCACTAGCTGCCATTAGTATCTTTCTCAATACAGTTTTAACAACCAGTAATTGCCAAATGCCCCGAGGGGCAAATCACATCTGAATGAATACCACTGGGTTGTATTCCTTGAGTGCTTAACTGTTTTTTCTGCAACATTTTCTGCAAAGTGTTTTTTTTACAATCACATTTGTTAGATGGGCTCTTTTTTAAAGTACCAAAATACCTCCAGGCATAAAGCCACAACTTACCTCAATGACAGCTCAAACTTAAATGCTGTATTTTCCCTAGACATCAGTCACCTTAACGGGATCTTTGTTGTGCTCCCTCAGAATGTTTTCCTTCATTCCTCTCTTATCATGAACTACTTATCTTTAAAACTTCCCTGATTAAATATTCTACCCTCCAAGATTTTATGCATTGACTACTGGAGACATCTCCCCTTATAGTTTTCTAACTGCCATTCTCTCATTCATCTCTATAATCCCCAATTTCTGCTAGTTGTATTAACTTGAAAACATTGAATTTATCTTCATTCTCATTTTCACACACAAATAAATGGCTACCACTGACAACAGCTGAAATCTGGGTCCCCAGTAATATTCTGTTTTAAAGTAAGGAAAGCCAAATTGAGAATGTTTAACCATAAAAGCTATGCAAAACAAAACAGAGATGGGTAAGTTATTAAATATAAATTATTTCAGAAAATCAAGATGTGTAGAATGGCCTCTGGCTTGCATGCAAGAATGAGGAAGTGGCAAGCCCCTCAAAGAGTGCTGTGCACTCTCACCAATGCCTCCTCTCCTGTTTCATGATTCTCACTCTCTGAGACCAGTTCCTTCTCTTTTGGGCTGTCCACATGCAGAGTGACTGAGTGAAAGGCCCCAAAGTTTACTAGTTCTAACCCAACCTGAACCACAATGTCTTGTTTTCAATTCTAGCTTCCCAAGAGAATGGTGACATGGCCTATGGAGGATACTTTTATTGCAAAAAAAGTGATCCAATGGTGACAGCAACAACTGGTTTGGAAATTTACCCAAATCACCTGTTTACCAATCTGAAATGTAGTTCTCAAATTTTTACAAAAAGTGTATGATAGAAAAAATTACACATACAGCAGTTTAATTGTATGAAAGCAAGACAAAATAAGAAAATGTCATTTTGGGGATGAGAACATTTACATGATTATAAATACATATATCAATGCTCATATTTCAAATTTCTTCTATCAAAAAGACTTTTAAAAGCAGTTTTGTCCAGATACAATGTCTAGTTTCTGTTTAGTCAAATAGAAATTTAATTTTTCTTGTGCAAATAAACAATTAAAAATATCAAGAGCTTTTTTTTTTAAATCAAGACCTTTTGGAAGAATCCCTAATGTATTTTTGTACAACATAGAAACTATAGTTTTAAAAAATGAGTATTTCCAGTTTTTCTTTAAAATATAATCTTTGTTTAAAATAGGATGATTTTTTAGTAAAGCATATTTTTTGAAACTTTCCCTACAAACTAGTATTTCAGCACGGATGTAAAATTTGAGTGTATGATTTAAAAAGACTGGTGAGGTTGGATTTTTTTGTTTTCTTATATAAGGATATTTTGTTTTATTTTTCTGACAAGTTCACTGACAGAGCTTCAGAGGTAACTTCACAGCATCTGCACTTACCTGTCAGCCCAGAATGAGTCAGTCCTACATTTGCTAAAAATGACATGACCAACATGGCATAACGGTGAACCCTAAGAGGATTTCAAGGCACTGTATGGCACCAGACCCTCTCATTAGTGCCATGGTTTTTATTAGTACAAGCCAGTTTTCTAACCTTTGCAAAATTGCTGGTAGGATATAGCATATACTGGATGTCTTGGTATTCTGACATCTCTTTATGTCACATTTGTTTATTTTTTAAAACCTGTTTACAGCTTGTTGAATTCTTCTGAGTATATTTAAAACATAAGGACCCAGTGTAAATCCTGGAAAAAAAAATCCATATGTTTTGTTGGTGGAAAATAAGAAGAAAAACCTGCTAGTTCATTAAGCCTGAAGAAAACTTGTTTTCTGTCAGTCCTCATATCTAGGGAGATAGCATCCCGTCTAGGAAAGAGCCTGTGATCCAGCAAAAGTTCTAGATCCAGCACTACCAGTAACAGCCTGTGTTATTCTTAGCCTCTCTTAGATTCATTTTTGACATGTGAAATAGAGGGCAAGATTTCTAGGATTCTTTTGTGTTAATATTGATTTTTTTCAAAGTACTCTTCCTGCCTTCTTTCTTCCCTTCCTTCTTCTCTTTCACAAATGTTGATGGAGCAGATAACAAATAACAGGCACAGTGATGAATAACTCTACTGATAAAACCAGGTACCTCATGTTATATATGTAAAAGAGTTAATATTGTTACTATATGCAGGTGGATTCCTGAATCCCAAATATATATTAGGTCCTACAGAAAAACTCTTTGAAGTGAATTTAACCAAGTCTGGATGTTGTTTATCTTCACTGAAAGAGATGACAAAGGAAAAAATGCCACAGTTGTGATTCAAAACACTTTCAATTACATTCATAACTTATCTTGAGAAAGCAAAGGATCTTGTTTTTCAAAAGAACTAGAAATAAAAATATCCATGGTAGCTTTAATGTTTTAAAGGCCAATGCAAGTCATGAAGGTTGCCTTAAAGTCTAGTACATCATTCATTGTTTTCCATTTTAAGGTTAACATTTACCATGTACTGCTTAGAGACAACTCTGAAAAGCCCGTCACTGCTGATATCTAACATGGTGAGTCCCAGTTGAGTTCCTGATGTCTCTTACTGACACTTCCTTGGGAGTGACTGATCATTCCCCATGTCCAGGTATGCTGAATAGTGTGGATTGATAAGATACAACTAACATTTCAAAACAGGAATGTTTGGAAAATGAGAAAAATAATGAAATTTTCTTTTTGATGACTTGTCTAAAACACAGGATGATATTTAACTGAAATTAGAGAAAATCATATTTTGTTATATATGTACATAAATATTTCAGATAAAAATGAGTAAATAAGACTCATTTGCACAGTTATGAGGTTATATCTGCCAAATTCATAACAACAGATGTCACCCCAAAATCAAAATTAAGAGAACAGATTTTTAAAAACCATTTGATTTGTCAGGTAGTTACTGAACTACTTGTCATCATATGACTAATCTGTCTTTCTAAGAGCAGAATCATGACAGATATTAAATGTAGATTAGAAGTAGGAGTATCCGATGCTTTTCATGGTGGTGGTTTATACATCAAGAAAGCTCCTGGGGAAATTCCATCTGCTAGTGAGACTAAACTGCATTGAGTATTTATTGTTTTCTGTCATGGTATGGTAGCTATTGGTTAGCAGTTTTTTTTAAAAGGAAAATTCATGTGTTTATACTTTTCATTTTCATATGTGCTTTCTGGAAAGTATATTTGTCTTGTGAAGGTGTTAGCAAGGAACTAGTTTAGAACTCAATTCTAATCAAAGAGAAAATATTTTAACATCATTTATTTTTCTCCAGTGGAACCAGAGAGGTGTTTGATATCTGTTGAAGTAACTGTAGTGCATCAATACTTAATCATAATTTATGCAATTTCCCTTTACTTCTTGAATGAAATTTTTTCCCTGTCAAATGGATGATTATTTCAAATATAATTCGAAGTGATGCCTTCAAGATATGTATTTTTTCTTCTAGCAATCTCAAAATCAGCCTAGTTTGTGCAATGTAAAAGATGCCAACTGTCATTTGAAATTCTCTTTTAGAGCATTTATATGTAATGGAACTTAGGGTCTTAGAAAATCCTTTCCACTGGTTACAAAGCAGCTAAAAAAGATTAGCTGCTTAAGGTGTGCCTGTCATATTACTCTTCTGGATGGACAAGGAAAGAATTCAAGTGTAAGTCAAAGAGATTAAAAACATTTTGAAAAGTAGAACACATACATGCTAAATTTAAATAACCTCTCTCATCAACATTAGAAACCTGTGACAATAGAGTGTGTGATTAATGGAGAAATTAATGGTTTAGGCAATAACTGCTAAAGGAATTCATAGAAGATCGCTTTGCTAGAAAGGTAAATCCAAAGGTAGGAACTGAACTGAGTGATGAAAGATAGAGGCAGCACTGGATACCCTATTATTTTTCAGAGTAAAACAGGGTTTCATGAGTTCTTGTACAAAACAGTTGTGCCCAATGCACCTCTATCATTTTAGTTTAGGTTTCCCATTGCCCAGTAATCTCAGTGATCATTGATACAGTGCCCCACGTGAAAGGTCCATATCTCTGACTACTTGGCTTGAAAAATGCCCAAAGCTAAAGCAGACAGGTAAGAAAGTTGTTTCTTTTCTAAAGAATGACTGAGACTATATAAAGGCTATGGGTACAGAGTAGAAAGACTAGGAAACTAGCTTAGTCAGGATACAAAGGCTTTTGAGGGTCTATGTATGTGACTTTACCTTTTAAATCAGTGTTTCCCAGAGCATAGTCATCAAAGCAGTAATTCCAGGAGATGTGATAGCTCTTCATGGGGGTATGGCAAAAACAGGAGTGAGATTTAGAAATTCAAATATATATTAAAAGGTCTCAATAAAAAATGAATTTTTATAATAAATCTTTGTAGAGCTCTTAATATATTAATGTGCCTTATGACTCCAAGAGGACATACTCCACATGAATCTTCAGGCCCGTTTGATTATGAAATCCCCTTTCAGTGGAGTGTCCCACGGCATAGGTGCACATGAAACAAAACTTAGGAAATTCTTTTATTGAGCATTGTTAACTAAGAAGGGAATGTTTTGACTAACTCAGAGTTCATTTGACTGTTTTGTGTGGCAACACTATTATATTAGTGAGGCTTTTGTTCTGTTTTGTTTCTGAAACAAAGTACCCAACACCTATAAATTAAAGAAGAGATGCGCTTTGATTCACAGTTTCGTTGGATTCAGTCCATATGTAACCAGCTTTCAGGTAGAAATGACATGGCAAAGGGGCATAGTAGAAGAAAAGTGCTCAACCCATGACAGCCAGGAAGCAGAGAGAGAAAGGAGGTATCGGTGACAAGAATCCACCGTTCCAGTTTAAACCCTGTTTAGGTACTTTTAACCAGGCCCCACCTCCTCACAGCACATTTAAGAACTTGAACTCATCTGTTGGTAAATCCATGGATGACTACAGAGACCCCATGATCCAGTCACCTTCCAAAAACATGAGGTTTTGGGAGGACATTTGATACCTCGACTGGAACAACCATATTAAGGTAAAAATGTTGAGATTAGTTAAAAATACACATTAGCTCAAAGATCTCACAGTGTAATAAAAAATAAATCCCTCCAAAGTGTAAAATCACTTGATTTATGCAATATTAAGAATAAACAGAGAGGAGCAGGCATACTATAGAATGCATTAAACAAGCACATGAACTTTAGATCCAAACCATGGGGCTTTGCATTATGGATTCATCACTAACCAGGTGTGTGTCCTTGGATAAAGTACCTACCCTTCTTGTACCTCAGTGTTTTCATCTGTAAAACGGAGCAAATACTGTCAATTTCGCATATTGTAAGAAATGAGTGATGATGCATAAAAAGTAAATAATAGCGTATAGTGTATAATAAACACTGTAGTTATAAAAAGTTTTTATGTAGCATGGATCATAGCTAAGAAAAGACATCTGCATTTCCTTTGGGAAACGAGAGGACTACATGATATGAGAAAAAGAGTGAGGGGTAAGGAAAAAAGAGCTATATCTATGGAAACATCTTCATTAATTCCACAAATATGACATAATTCGATGTTATAGAAGACTATTACATGAAGAGGTAAGAGATAGGAGATGAAGCTGGGGAAGTGCAGATGTCACACTGAGGACTGTGTACTTTATAGTGTAGGTAATGGAAAGCCAAGAAAGGTTCTAAGAGTAAAATGGTTACAGTTATAATTAAGAAAGATCATCCTGTTAACAACCCAAAAGGCCTTTGTGACTCATTTAAGGAATGTATGTCAGATCAAGGACATAGAATCTTGGATAGAGAAAGGTCTACTTCAAAAGTATTTAAGTATCCTAAACCTTTGGTGTTTGAATGCCTCTGAAAGAGAGAAAGGAACTGAAAAATCAATGTTGAGCTTGTAGCTTGAGAGAATAAATGAAAAGTAACATCCCTAATCAGTTTGAAGAAACAAAAGTAGAAAGGGATGGAATAATATAGGGAGGCAAATAGTATGATCAAGCTGTGGCTGTTTGGGTTTAAGGTCCCATGGTACATATAAGTACATCTATCTAAATGATATTCAGACTTCTCTTTCTGGAGCACAGCAGAGAGTTCTCAGTTAAAGGTAAACATTTGCAAGTCATGACCACATAGTACAACATATAGACAGGGAAAATGATGAAAATACTGGCTCAACTCCACAGTGGAGACAGAATGATTACTAAGGACATAATCTGAGAAAAAACACACAACAAAAATATATCAAGACTAGAGTTATCCACACTTTGAGAATCTGTGCATGCCCTATTATTTTTCAGAGTAAAACAGGGTTTCATGAGTTCTTCTACAAAACAATTGTGCCCAATACACCTCTATCATTTTAGTTTAGGTTTCCCATTGCTCAGTAATCTCAGTGATCATTGATACAGTGCCCCACATGAAAGGTCCATATCTCTGACTACTGTGTTTGTTCCTTGGCTTGTATGGTGACTACCTCCACCTAGCTCCTTGCCATCACTGTTTCATAAATATTATCTCAACTCACATATTAGTGGACTTTTATTTCATTTGGAAATTTAAAACAATAAAAGAAGGTAAAGGGAATAAAAATTTTAGTTGTAACTGTAGTTGCCTATCAAGTTAGTAAAATGAATTGGAAAACAGGTACTGAAAGCATTATGTTAAGACAGACAGTCTGCTCTTTGAGTATACCAGCACATACAAGAGGTATATGAAAGATTACTATAAAGAAAATAACACCTAATATTTGCCTTCTACTTCAAAATCTGTGCAGTATGTTCTTGAGTATCAACAATGCACAGGCCATATTTTTGTTATATATATTTGTTATAATTGTTATGATATAATCATATTATAATGTTATAATTGTTATATATTTATTCTATACTATTGTTTTTTATAGAAATTAAAGGGTGGAAATATAGTATCTTTTTAAATGTTGAGAATAATAAATATTAAATGATGAGTTGGTACTTAAAACTTTGTGAATTCTAGGTCTTTTGATTGTACTTGTTCTCTGTTAAATTACCTATATAGGGCTTTCGCTACTTGAGTAACTACATTTTTCAAGAAGTATACATGGACTTAATTATCTGTGCCTGAGTACCACCCAGCAGCCAGAGGGTTAGTAGGTAATCTTGGAATTATATATATTTACTTCACACATTATTGTGCTACATTTATTTATTTATGTTCCAACTAGTTCAAAAAGTTTTCTTTTAAGAGAATGGTTCAGTAGGATTGTTCAATTCTGAGATAAACAAAAAGGAATTGATTTACAATAGTTTAATCCCACTGTGGCTAAAAGGTATAATTGAGTCACTGAGAAGTAACACATTTCAATTAAAAAAACAAATACAAACTCAATTCATAATTAGTAACTTGGCAGGAGCTTAGTTTTAACACCTCATCTCTCTCTTGGAATAATGATTGTCTTATGGTTGGGTCATTCTCTGCCCTGATACTGTGTTGCAGAAGTCTTGGAGTGCCAGTTCCTTTTCGTATGTGTCATAGGGAGAGCTTAAGAATCTCACTACACTTTTTTAGGTTTGCAGTTACTCTATTTATTTTCAAGGCTTTATTTTTTAATTTGGATTCAATTTTATTACATCCTCTTTTCTTACTCCTTTTTTTAAAGTGTACTTACAGTATATGCATCTCACCATTCCTTCTGGTACATAGTTCCTTTTCTGAGGTACATCTTACATACTTTCTTTTTCTATGGTTTCGTTTTTCTCTTCCTTATTATTTTGTTATTAGTTCACGTTTGCACTACATAATGATTATATTCCTTGTGGGGAGTTGGTAGTGGCTTCCTTTACTCTAGCTCCCTACTCTCTGTGGTTGTCAAGCCTTGTTGCACTGCTAGCCTTTACTAAGACTGCTTTCTTTGAAATTATGGTGTTTAAAATATATTCCAGAATGCTTTCTGCACACAGTGTTTTGGGAGCTGCTCATTTTCTAGGGAAATTCCATCACTTTTGCTTTCTGGTAGAATCCTGTCCTGGAATTCCAGCCCAACCTCCCAGCACTTGTGATTTAAGAACCTTTAAGCCACACTACAACAGAAGTCCTTTGAAATCTATAACTTCACAGATGGTTTGTCAGTTCTTTTCCACCAGATCACTTGTTCTACCCTTGGAGTTTAAGCACAGATTCTGTTTTCATTTAAGTTCTACTGAAATCTTAACCAATGAAAATTGCCTGTGGTGGAAGTTAGATAGTATATAATAAGAGCAGAAATTATTAAAACCAGCACCATTTTCCCATGCTGTAGTCATGAAAAATATGTATTTAAGAAGTTGGATATTTAAAAGATTATTCAGTATTCTCAAAATTGATGTAATTGATAATGATTAGTTAATAAAAATCTACCAAAATATCACTGGACACTTCAATGAAATTGTAAAGTACTATTTAGCTTCATAAAAATTTTAACAATATTGACAGCTATAGTTAGACCACCCATAGTAATAAGCATTAATGTCTCATTTAAGTAACTTTTCAACTGGAAAGTTACAATAGTTGAGTTAAATATTAAATCTTATAATTTCTTCTGGGTTCATTTGTCTAGGCATATCTGTATTTGAAACATATAAAAATTATATGCATGATTATACAAAATATGCATATACTTGGCATGATAGAAAATATGATGAATGTTTAAATTTTTATAATTATTACCATAAAAGATACATTGCCATTAATACCCCTCAAATTACTCCCACTCACTTTAAACATACTTATCGCATGTTCTGGCCCCTTTCTGAACAAGTTCTAGAAGTCCATTTTCATTTCTTTAGTTGTGCTGTCCTGACTGCCTCATGTTCTTTCATGATCATTTTGACTTTGGAGAAGAGCTAGAGGTTACAGGGTGCCTGATCCAGTGAATAAGATAGTTGAGGAAAAGCTGTGATGTTTTTTACAAGCCTGCCTTTCTGTTGGATGACACTCTGCAGCAGTATTCACAACATCGTTTTTTATCATACTTCATAAAGACACTCAAGAAAGATTTCCACAACTGCTTCAGAGTGCGGCAAGAATGATGGAATGATGTGATAAGGGTATTTGAAATGAGAGGGAATATTTTGAGGAAGATCAATGGTAATGTGCCTTTTACTGTAAACATTTTTAAAGTTTAAAAATTCACCGTATATTTCAGTCACGTATCATACACCCACCTATGTAATACATGAATGCACATATATCAAGAAAAAGAATAAACATATCCAAATAACCACATTATATATTTTCAGTTAGAGATAAGTAGCATTTTGATTCCTTTTTCATGCAAGTTATCCTTGAAGTTCTGAAGCAGCATTGCACTACAATTTATAATAAAACACCAAAAAAATTGAAGTTAATTGGAAAAACGAAATCATGTTACTGCTTGTTAGTTGACATTTCCTATCTGAATATTTTAAATGAATGCTTCATGTTGGTTTATTAACATTGGCTAGCCAGTGCTTTTTCTACAGAAGGCTCAGATGAATCAATGTTTCCAGGATGTTTTCTGGCATTAGGATATATGGTACTGTTTCATTCCTTAAACTGATTTATTATGTTTCAGATATTTCCTAAGGCAATTTCCTTTTTTCTTTCAGAACATGTACAGTAAGTCAATCTATTAAACTGAAGTTTGATTTTTTTTCACTTGTGCTAAATCTGATGATGAGGTTATAATTCTCTTCTGCTAGGAAAAAAGAAACAGAAAATATTGAATTAAAGCCTCTTTAGAAAACATCTTTAATTTTTATCATTATTGATGTTTTTTGTTTCATATTGAGACTAGTGTAATTTTGCCATGCTTTAAAAATAATAATGTCCACCTTTAGTAGTTAAATTAGGCATAAAATATGGTTCTGTGGGTGAAACATTAAGATGCTAAAATTTAAAAATAGTTTAAATGGACTATTCTACTTTTGCCCAAGATCAAAATCCATTTGGAATTGTTCCAGAAAGTTTCTAACAGTCACAAAATAATTACCAATTTTCCAATTGCCATTGCCCTATTTGACCATTCTATTATCGTGGATAATTTAATCAGCATTCGCTGAATGCACTTATTTCATTGTTCCCTTGCACAGCAATTTTATCATGGTTGTTGGTGCAGGTACATCTGCATGTCCTTCATGGTACCGGAACTATAGAACTTACTGTGTTGTTGGCATCAGCTTCCATGAACTTGTGCTGTACTTCAGACAATACTCCATAATTATTCCCTGAAACGACTAATATATGCATCAATTACTAATATGGAATCATAACTTTACTAAATGAAATATCCCCCATGTGGTCACTTTGCTACTTCATTCACCTGTTTCCTTGATGCCACTGTTACAGACCTTTCATCATTTTCTGGCTTGTTTATTGAGGTATCCTCTAATATTCATTCTTACATTCCATCATGACTATTCCAGACCTTTCCTATTCACTAGCTTGTCCCACCTTTTTTCTCTGTCTTAATTTAGTTTGACCAGCTTAGATTGCATGGATCATTTTGTTAGTAAGTTTGTTTCAGTACTCAAAATTCCCTAGAAAGGCTTTGACCTTTCAAGAAAATCATCAGTCTCCAATGAAGCGAGTTCTTTTTTTATCTGCCCATACCTGTACAGCTAAGCTCCTCTAGAAACTAATGTGTACCACAAACTAGTGCCACTATGACTGTTTTGCGTGTACTAACATTGTGTGTACTATCAACATTATCATATAACGCTACTACATTTTCTATCACTCTCCGAAAAATTTATTTCAGCCTTGCTCTATTTTCTCCATAAACTCTACATTCTCATTTCTTCCTTCATTTTCTTACTTATAGAGGCTTTTGGTTTGGTCTGGGAGGCAGAGAAATAAATTATCAGAGGGAACTATTCAATAGTGATGTTCATAAAGCCTTTTGGTCTTCCCTCTCCCTGCGTCTACACTGTCTACTCCTTATTGCAGCTTCCCATTAAATCCAGATAGAGTTTAGATTTTCTGCTTATTTGACAACATCTTCCTTCCTACACATTATATCCTTCAACATCAACATAATTTTTTTCACTTTACTCCTACCTCTCCATAACTCCTTTCCTCAATGTTCTTTGCCCACATTTCCCTCTACTAATCTGTTAAAAGCTGGGATGTTCAAGCCTCAATCTAGGACTTCCTTCCATTGTCATCCTGTAATCTATTCCAGGTTAACTCGGTGTGTGAGACTAGTTCAAACCAGCCATTTATGCCAGTGGTCCAGGATCATTTCTATAGCCCAGTCCTCTCCTGACCTCCAAAAGAATGTTTTACCTCTCTTCTAGATATGGTTACTTAGATGTTCAGAAGCTCATTAAATTCAATGTGTCCAAAGCTACGTGATGTTGCACCATCTCCTTCCCATGTTACATTCCTTAATGAAAGAGACACCTATCACTCATCTAAAAACCACAAACCCCAGTCATTCTGATCATCTTTTTTAATCTTTTTTTAAATTGAGTTTATTGGTACATTTTAGGTATACAGTACTTTTTATCTTTAACCCATTAGCAAGCCTTGTTAATTTTGCTCTTGTATGTATTTGAGAAACACTATTTTTCCACATATCTACCATTCTTACACCTATTTTCAAGACAATATTTATCTATTCTTGCTTAGGTACTTTTATACTGTTAATAGTATCCTATCTTGCTTGTCCAAAGATTATTTGAAAAGGAAAATATTTATCTTTTTGCTGTTTAAAACTATTCTGCCTCACTTCATGCTGCAGTAACACTAGCCTTTATTGGTTCCTTTAATATGTCAATCACTGTCTACCTCGGGACTTTTGCTCATACTCTTGCCTTTAGTTCAAATGCACCCCCGCACACACACCCATGCGCACATTCTCCATCTAATCTGCCTTGGCTACTTATTTTTATGAAATGGCTCAAATGTTACATTTTTTTTTAGTACTGGGGATCGAACTCAGGTCCTTGCACTTGCGAGGCAGGCAGTGGAACCAGTGAGCTAAATCCCTGGCCCTCAAATATTGCTTTTTCATGAAAATCTCCCTTGATACTACATCACAGTATTCTATAAATATTTTTCTTGACAGCTGGCTTAACAACTGAGTATGTACTGATCTGACGATACAGTTTTATGAGAGTCAGT